GGCAAATTTAACAAAGGAAAAGAGGGAGAGAATACAAATAACACGAATAAGAAATGAAATGGGTGACATCACAACAGAACCAACTGAAATAAGAATTACATAATGGCTCATATGTGTGCCCAGGAAAACACTCCTCCCCCTCAGCCTCACTAATCTTATTTCTCTGTTGCACAACATACACATTGCCACAAGATGGACAGCATAAAATAGGGGTAGAAATATTGGAAAGGACAGGTGAACTCTGGGTCAGAAAAGGAGTCAATGGACTCTCACAGTATGGACAATCTGCAAAGAAAAAAACATACACCTCGGTCTTGTTTGAACATCATGCAAATGCTTCCATTTGTTCTACGGTTCACTATTTGTACCCCTTAATGTGTTGGAGTCAGCATGTTCTCTTTTAAATTGTAAGCTCCCAGAGAGTAGCATTAGGTCCTGTTGAGTTCATTTGTAATTTTCCAATTTACAAGGTACTTGAATTTGAATGTACACTTTTGGTGATAAGGGTGTTTCTTACAAGATTTTGGTAAGATCCAGGGAACATTTATAATATGAGAATGAAGAGGAAGTTTTCTGAGTTCCTGCTCTGTTACTAATGTATAACCTTCAGGAAGTATTTAAACTGTTCTTTTCACCAAGTTTCTCTAAAATTAATTGAGGAAACTGACTCAAACCCCCACCCCTGTACAGTATGCAGAGTGCTGATTCCGTCCCCTTGGCTGTTGGATAAGTCCACCTGGACATCCAGCTCTCAACTCAAACTCAGCATGGTGGGGGTTAAACTAATGAGCCTGGCTCCTGATGTTCCCACTCAATTGATGCTATCATCCTCTCTCTCTCTGTTTCAATCTCTTTAACTCTGTTCTCTCCTGTATACCCCACATTTAATCATCTTAAACTACTACAGATTCTTTAGAATATTTCTCATTCTTTTACCCTTTTCCCATTTAAAAAATGCCAAAAGTCCAGATTTTTAGCATATCTGAGCTATTCGAATATCAGTCAACTTAGTCTTCCTGCTTCCAGTCTCTCCTCTGTACTCTCTGATGTGTCTCTGGAACATGAATCTTCATAAAAGGCTGTTTCCATCATATCTCTCCTTTTATCATATCTCTCCCATGACTCCAAAAAGTTTATGGCTCTGGGTTGTCAAAAGCCCACAGTCTGATCCCAACCTCGCTTTTACTCCTTTATTTAGTCACTGAGTGACTGCCATGTGCAAAGTCTTGATTAGGGCCTTACTTCTTAGGAGCTCAAGTTGGTAAGGGAGAGGTTGTGGTGGTGGTTTTTGAGTGCCATTGAGTTGACTCCAATGCATAGCGACCCTATGTACAACAGAACAAACACTGCCCTGTCATGCACCATCCTCACAATTCTTGTTGTTGCAGCCACTATGTTGATTCATCTAGTTGAGGGTCTTCCACTTTTTTGCTAACCCTCCACTTTACCAAGCATAATATCCTTCTCCAGGCTATGGTCCCTTCTGACAACATGACCAAAGTAGGTGACACGAAGTCTGGCCATTCTCACTTCCAAGGAACATTCTGACTGCACTTCTTCTGGGACAGATTTGTTCATTCTTCTGTCAGTCCATGGTACTTTCAGTATTCTTCACCAACACCATAATTCAAAGGCATCAACCTTTCTACTGTCTTCCTTATTCATTGCCCAGCTCTCACATGCATATGAGGTGACTGAAAATACCATGGCTTGGGTTAGGTGCACAAAGATGTTAAAGTGGCATCTTTGCTTTTTAACACTTTAAAGATTTACCCACTGCAATATGACATCTGATTTCTTGACTGCTGCTTCCCTGAGTGTTGATTGTGAATCCATGTGAAATGAAATCCCTGACAATTTCAATCTCTTCTCCATTTATTGTGACATTGCTTATGGGTCCAGTTGTGAGGATTTTTGTTTTCTTTATGTTGAGGTGTAATCCATACTGAAGACTGTAGTCTTTGATCTTCATCAGTAAATGCTTCAAGTCATCTTCATTTTCAGCAAGCAAGATTGTGTCATGTGCATATCGTAGGTTGCTAATGAGTCTTCCTCCAATCCTGATGCCATGTTCTTCTTCATATAGGCCAGCTTCTTGGATTATGTGCTCAGCATACAGACTGAATAATTATGGTGAAATGATACAACCCTGACACACCTTTCCTGATTTTAAACTATGCAGTATCCATTTCTTCTGTTCAAATGACAGCCTCTTAGTCTATGCAGAGGTTCCTCATGAGCACAATTAAGTGTTCTAGAATTCTCATTCTTTGCAATTTTATCCATTATTTGCTATGATCCACACAGTCAAACAGTTTCTTTGGTATTCATAAGGTTTTCCCTGGCCAAGTCTTTGAGAAGTGGGTGACCTCTTCCTTCTTCCTAGTCTGTCTCAGTCTATAAGCTGGGCTGTTACCTGTGCACCAGGTGCATTTCACTGGGTTTTAAACACCAGAGGCTCAGCCTCAAAACTCACTTCTACATGTCACCACAGTAGGACAAACCGACAGACAAGTTTGTCTTGCTGTTAGAGAACTCTCGTATCACCCCCACCTCAAGAGGGGAGTGTGTCAGGGTTGTATCCTTTCTCCACACTTATTCAATCTATATCCTGAGCAAATAATCCGAGAAGCTGGACTATATGAAGAAAAACGTGGTATCAGGATTGGAGGAAGAATCATTAACAACCTGAGATATGCAGATGATACAACTTTGCTTGCTGAAAGTGAGGATGACTTAAGGCACCTACTGATGAAGGTTGACGAATACAGTCTGCAGTACGGATTACATCTCAATATAAAGAAAACAAAAATCCTCACAACTGGATCAACGAGCAGCATCACAATAAATGAAGAGAAGATTAAGGTTGTCAAAGAATTCACGTTGCGTGGTTCTACAATCGATGCCAATGGAAGCAGCAGTCAGGACATTAGACGACGTGTAGCATTGGGAAAGTCAACTGCAAAGGAACTGTTTCAAGTGCTGAGGAGCAAGGATATCTCCTTGAGGACTAAGGTGCACCTGACACAAGCCATGATATTTCCAATTGCCTCATATGCATGTGAGAGCTGGACAATGAATAAGGAAGACCGAAGAAAAGTTGATGCTTTTGAGTTGTGGTGCTGATGAAGAATGCTGAAAGTACCGTGGACTGCTAAAAGAACTAATAGATCTGTCCTGGAGGAAGTGCAGCCAGAATGCTCCTTGGAAGCAAGAATGGCCAGACTTCGTCTCACCTATTTTGGTCATGTTGTCAGAAGGGACCATTCCCTGGAGAAGGATGTCATGCTTGGTAGGGTGGAGGGTCGATGAAAGAGGGGGAGGCCTTCAACGAGATGGATTGACATGGTGGCTGTGATGATGAGCTCAAGTATAGCAGGGATTGTGGGGCTGGCACGGGATTGGGCAGTATTTTGTTCTGCTGTGCATGGGGTCGCTATGAGTCGGAAACAACTCAATGGCACTTCACAACAACAACAACACACAGTCAAATGCCTTTACTTAATCAATAAAACATCTTTCTGATATTCTTTACTTTCAGCCAAGATTCATCTGATGTGAGCAATGATATCCTTCATTCCACATTCTCCTCTGAATCCAGCTTAAATTTCTGGAAGTTACCTCTCAACATATTGCTACAACCTTTCTTGAATTATCTTCAGCAAAATTTTACTTGTGTGTGATATTAATGATATTATTCAATAATTTCCACATTCTGTTGGATCACCTTTCTTTGGGCATAAATGGGTATCTCTTTCAGTCAGTTGGCCAGATAATTGTCTTCAAAATTCTTGGCATAGATGAGTAGGGGAGAGTTAGGTCATATATATACAAATATATGCCATATATGGTAACGAGACCCAAGTAACATGGAGGTCCACAGGAGAGAGAACTTCTGCTTTTCATCAGAGAAGTTTTAATTATACCATCTTTGACCAGGATAAGAATATTTACAGGTAAATATGGAGAACAATTTCAAGCAAAGAAATGGAATGGACAGATTAGAGGAATAGCAATTAATCTAGCATCTATTTCAGAGGTAGAAATAGTGATGTTCAAAGACTTGGAAGACAGACTAGCAAAAGACTGTAGAAAACCCTGAACAGTAATCTGAAGAGCATTCCTCAAACCAGGGAAGTCATTAAAGGATTAACATACTGACACAATTTGTGACTTCCTTTGAGAGGACAAATACAGTAGCAGTGAGCAAAATGGCTTTGGCAAAGGAAAATCAAATGAGGAGAACAGCTTGGGTGAGATGAAGGCAAAACAAAAATTAGATGAGTGAAGTGATGCTGGTGAAGGGTAACAGGGCTAGCTGCAGGTAATGGGATTGGATGGATATCCATTGAAGAGCTAGACACAGTAGAGCTCCATGACTGTTGTGATGGGAATGTCAGGAGGAACTGCAAAGTGAAGACACAAAAATAACCAGCTGTGAGGTTCTTGGTAGGGATGTTGAGGAAATGGTGATGGTAATGATGGTAACAGGAGTCAAGAAGAGGAATGTCAGCTGTTGGAGACACATAGGTGTCACAAAGAAGCAAGTCTGGTACAAGAACTAAAGTTGGAAGTCATTTACATAGTTGTGACAAGTTAGCTTTTAGACATGTAGGAGATTGCCCAGAAACCTGGGAGGAGAGAAAGACAAGGAAGAGAAAGAGACACAGGTTGCAGACTCTGGGTAATGCCTACTTTTAGACAGTTCAGGACTGAACATAAGGAGGCAGAGGACAATAAACTCTCTGTTCTCTCGAGGCTGATTTACTTCCTATCCACTGAGCATATACAAACATAAAAACAAACTCACTGCCATCGAGTTGGATCTGACTCATAGTGACCCCTCCTTGCGTTTCCGAGGTGGTATCTCTACAGAAGTAGATTGCCCAACCTTCCTTCCGAGGAGTGGCTGGTGGGTTTGAACCACCAGCCTTCTGGTTAGCAGTGAAATGCCTTGGGCACTACACTATTCCACATGTCTGGAATCACCTTCCAAACTCCTCACAGCCTATAAAAATCCTCCATTTCTTTTCAAGCCTATATCAAGTATACCACTTCTAATAATGCATCTCTTGCCAGCCTAACCTGATGGAATTTCTTCCTTCTCTGAGCTCCTCTAGCAGTTACTATCTACCATTCTTTTGACCTCTCGCCATACTCTACTATTTATCAGAATAGTGTACAACACTGTTACAGGAACTTGAGACACAACAACACACACAATAGGGAATAAATCAGCTCTTACTTCACGTTCATCAAAGTTTGGGTGAGAAAGGGAGAAGGCCATACTTGGTGCAGACAGACAATAACCAACCAAATGAATAAAATAGAGTAAATTCACAAAGGTTAAAAGGCCTTTAAAAATAAATAAAAACTCTAAAAACCTTACTGTCATTGAGTCGATTAGACTCATAGTGACCCCTCCTTGGGTTTTCCAGGTGGTATCACTATGGAAGTAGGTTGCCCAGTCTTCCTTCTGAGGAGTGGCTGGTGGGTTTGAACCACCAACCTTCTGGTTAGCAGTCAAATGCCTTAGGCACTGTGCCACCACAGCTCCCTTCAAAACAAATAAGATGGGGTAATGGAATATTTTGGAAAAAATCCTGACAGTAGACTTCTGAAAAATCAGCTAATGAAAATCCTATGGAGCACAGCTAAACTCTGAGATACGTGACTTGGCCATGAATTGCAATCTACCTGATGTCAACTTGTTTGCTTTAGTTTTAATGGAGTATTAAATATATATATATAATAGGGACAGTGGCTTGCAGAGTTAGTTTTGGTAGCATAATCAGGGAAATCTTCTCTGAGAAAGTGACATGGGCAGAGAGCTGAGTGATAAAAAGCCAGCCCAGTAAAGATCTGAATGTAAGTAAAGGGGCGGAGGGAATCACTTATGCTGTGGTCTTGAAGAAGGAACATGTTTGGTATGTCAAGAGGAAAAGGAGACGGCCAATATTTATGGATTGCAGTGAATATGGGAAGGTAAACTGAAATAAGAAACTGGAGTTTACTCTCAGTGCAGTAACGGATTCAAGCAGAAGACTGTATGATCTGATTAATATGTCTAAAAGATCACTACTGCTTTGTTTGCATGGAGGCTAGACTATAGAGAAGTATGTAGATAGAAAAACCAAATATTTAGTATTTTTGTGTGCATAGATTGCTAAGATGTCAATCCCAGGCTTAATCTATGAAAGAAGCCCAGAGAACAAATAATTGGTGATGAAGAGAGAAGGCTACATGCCTCCCATTCTCTGATCACTCTGCTGACCTTTTCCTGGCATGAATGCACATGGAGAGTCCAGTAAGGCCAGAGGGTAGAGACGTCTCATTGGATGTGAAAACTAAACCATCTCAGATGAACAAAGATAAGTTCCTAGGCCTGAAAGAACTAAGATCTCTTTTAATAGATTCTACAAAGGAGATGCAGCCAACCGAATAGGCCTGAGGTTCTTTTGGAAGTTAAGTGTCTGCTTAACCCATGCAGCTCGCACAGGAGCTATCCAGGGTGCTGGACTGCCTCACCCTAAAGCTTCCTAAGGCCTGGAGGGTGGATCTGGCTGTTGGTTAGTTATCTGTGTTGGACCTACAACTCCCCCAGCATTGTACCTTAACCAGACTCCACCCCTGATACCTTGTCCTATGGTCTTATCTAACTTCTAAGCCAACATACCCTGGGTCATGATTGTCTAACATGGAGCATCTTCTACTTAAGCCGCATAGACTACAGAGTGGAAATGTATCTAGTGGTGTGTAGATAGGTTTGGGCCTCCAATGTGCCTCATAACTGTTTGAAATAATAATAAAAGGAGGGCCAGTGATCTCAGTGGTCCTGCTTCTATAACCAAACCCAGAGTCTTGTCTAAAACAGATCTTAATGAACACTGCTTCTCCATTCCCAACGATTAATAAATTCACAGCATTTCCAACTTTACCCACTCCCTTCAATTTTGTCCTTGACTTCTCTTTTAAAAAATACGTTTAACTGGAGGCCATTACTCAATTCTTGAGTAATCAAGTTTGTACAGTGAGTAGTGGATGAAAATTTGTATGCTTTCAAATCCAGCACTTTACCTCTTCAACTAAAACACTTAGAGCACTAGACTTTCTGATGGATACTCATTTCTAACACTCTTCTTAAGGAACAAGAAAAACAGGGAGAGCTGCAGCATCTTCAGAACTTTCCACCTACATGTCAAACCCTTCACTCTCCTTAAATGTGTTTGAGGGGTAGTGTGGTTTATAAAGAGCCACAGAAGTTCAGTAAAACTTTTTAGTTCCAAGTTATCAAGACAATAATGAGAACATGTGACTAGAAACCCTTACATTTGTTCTGTTATTCGCCTTTTATATGCACAAACAAATCAAATACATGGAAATTCTGTTAATGTACAAAGGATATGAATGTCTTTGTTTTAACACCGTCTAAGACTAAATATTAGCATCTACCTGTCACTTTGTCATACGTGGTGGCTTGACTGTTGTTTTGATGCTGCAAGCTAGCCACTGGTATGTCAAATACCAGCAGGGTCACCCATGGTGGACAGGTTTCAGCAGAGCTTCCAGATGAAGACAGACTGGAAGAAAGGCCTGGATATCTACTTCTGAAAATCAGTTGATTAAAGCTCTACGCATCACAAGAGACGCTGTCTGATAGGGGGCTGGAAGATGAGCCCTCTGTATTGGAAGGCAGTACACAATGGTGGCAACAATGGACACAAACATACCAACAATCATAAGGATAATGCAGGACTGGGTTTGTTTCATGGGGTGGCTCTGAATTGGAGTTGACTCAGTGAAAACTAATGACAACAAAGTCCAAATGAGTAAGGCCCAGCAATGCCTTTCTTTAAGCTACTGGCAAATTAATCTTGCTTATTTTTATTCACAGAACTCCCCACACTCTAGTTTACCTCCTGGTCATCACAGATGCTCATCCATATGACTGAACACTCATCTCCTCCTTCTTTGCCTTGCTCACTTGGCTCATCCTCTAGGCCTAATTTTAAGTCCAGAACCTTATCTGAGAGACTCATCCCTTACCAGGTCTGGGTGAGATTCAGACTCCTAAGACCTTGCCCTTACCCCCAGGTGTTCTACAGTCACACCTGTTACCCAGCAGTTGAATTGCTAGTTTATTCATTCATCTATCCCACCATATCACAAGCTCTATATGGGTACAGACTCAGCCTTTCTTTTCATTGCATCTCCAGGGCCTTGTATAGTGCTTCAATTAATAGAGGTATTCAAAGAATATATAGAAGAATTACTGAACTTTAAGATTTTTCAGGTTCTTCTCTAACTCTAAAAGTTAAGAAATCTGCTTTGTTCTAGACTTCTTTTAGGACTTTGGACTCAATATTCTTTTCATTTAAGAGACCTTCTATAAGTGACTTCACACCTTGAGTGGAGAAAATTGTTAGTGGCCTCAGCTGGGTTGGAGTTTGGATTCCACCATGAAGCATCTCAGAAGAAAAGCCCAGTAAGTTACTTCCAAAAACACAGCTACTGGAAATCCTATGGATTTGGGGGGAAACAAACAAACAAACCACGGAGCACGATTCTACTCTGACCCACAGGGAACCACCATGATTCAGAATCAATGCCGTGACAACTGGTTTGTTTTTGGTATTTCTTGCACACAATGATGCAAGACATTTCTGAAACCATGTAGAAATTGTATTTTTGTATGGAACAATTGCAATAAAATCATATAACTTGTGTATACAAGATGGAGCTAAGAGATACATGTTTTAATTACCAAAGAGTAAGCAGAACTTTTACAAAATATTTCAAATTGACATAGTTTCCTCAGAGACCCAGCCCCTGAAATCCTCCCCTTGTGGAGTTGTTCAGAACTATTTGCATTTTGCCAAATAAAGGAAGCAGAATTAGTCCACCTGAGCTTCCCTGCTATCTGTCAACTCCTTCTGAGATCCTGTCTCTTCTCCATTTTTCCACTAAAAGTATTAGTGGATCTACCAGGTTTATACAAATGGTTGATCCTGTCTTCCTTCCTCAGCTCCTTCTGCTCTTAGAATTGAAAAATGGAATAAGTTGTTTTCAACACACTATTACCTTGAATGCTTCTTTTGAAGAAGGCCTTACAGCCTTCACAGGACCAGACTCCATAATGGTAGCCTGAGGCATAGTCATTGCACACTGCACAGTAGCGAGTCTCCTTGGTAGATTCCATGGCCATGTTTCCCTTGTCACCAGTACTAGCCAATCTCTCTCTGCCACCCTGGCGCCGGGTATCTGAATTTGGCCTGGGGGGAAAAGTGTAAGGGGGAAAAAAAAAACAGTGAATCCATTAACAATCAAAAAGCAAAACATGCACTCTCCTCTAAAGAATAAAAGGCTTTGGAGATGGGGCAAGTCCACTTTATTCTGACATTTTGAAATAATGAATCATAATGTAAGCTAATCTTTCATTACCTCTTGCCGTCTGTTGCAACAAAAGGTGTTTGTCTGTTATATTAACCTTGAGGGGAAATTGTTTATTGCAAACTTGCTTTTAAAATGGACTCCCTACACCAGAATATATTAGCCAGAATGTATTCAATTACAAAATAAAATGAGCTAGTTTCTAACAGATTTATTCATTTTCTCAGGGATTAACAATTAATTCAGCACCCTCAGAGGCTACAGCTTATTCCAACTCTAGACCATGTTACTTTAGGAGATACAGACAAAGTATAAAACAGCTGAGCATCTGAAACTCAAATGAACTGATGAACAATGGAGAGCAAGTGTCAGAAAATAACAATTCAAATTGCTATGCCCTTGTTACAGGTGACCCTGGATATCAGTTTTTATCACTTTATAACTGGAGGATGCAATTCTTCAATACCCAATACTCCTTTTTACAAGCACACAAAATGAAAAGCTCAGAGGGGCACAGATGGCTACACCAACCTTTGAAGAATTAATGCAGGAAGCCTATCCCAAAAAGGCAATTGAGAATGAACAGTCGGAAAGTTCTGGAAGAACCAAGAGAATGGGAAGTTAAAAGCTTAAGCAAGTAGAAAGCCTGAAAAAGGAAAGAGTGATTGATAGTGCCCAAAGACAAAATGAAATGAGCTAGTTTCTAATTGTTGTTGTTGTTAGGTGCCGTCAAGTCATTTCCTATTCATGGTGACCCCACGCACAGCAGAACGAGACACTGCCCAATTCGAGCCAGCTGCATGATCCTTGCTATACTTGAGCCCATTGTCGCACCCACCATGTCAATCTATCTCGTTGAAAGGCTTCCCCTCTTTCGTCGACCCTCCACCTTACCATGTATGACATCCTTCTCTAGGAAATGGTCCCCTCTGACAACATGACCAAAGTAGGTAAGACAAAGTCTGGTCATCTTCACTTCCAAGGAACATCTCAGCTGCCCTTCTTCCAGGACAGATCTGTTAGTTCTTTTGGCAGTCCATGGTACCTTCAGCATTCTTCGCCAGCACCACAACTCAAAAGCATCAACTCTTCTTCAGTCTTCCTTATTCACTGTCCAGCTCTCACATGCATATGAGGCAATTGGAAATATCATGGCCTGTATCAGGCGCACCTTAGTCCTCAAGGAGACATCTAGGAGTTTCTAATAGACTTACTCATCTCCTCAGGGATACACATTGGCTGATAAAGTAAAGTTGGATTTTGCAAAGAGAACACATAGCAAAGAGTTCCAGAAGAGAGGAATAGACACAGCCAAAATTCAGAAGAGTGAATGGAGATGAAAATGAGAGAAGGCTGTTCATTTGAGAAGTTGGATAAGAAGGGGGAAAGAAAGAAAGAGGGTGGTAGCTTTAAAAAGACTGTAAAGAGAAAGGGAGATTAACAGAATGGGAGAAAGCCTGAGAAGGCCTCATTCAGACTGGAGGGAACAAGCCTAGAGAGAGAATGGTTGGTGATACAGAGAGGGGAAAAAAAAGGGGGGGTGGGTAACTAATAAACCAAAGACAAGAAGAAGACTAGATCAGTTGGGATTAAAATCACAAAAGAAACAACACTGATGAAGAAACCTTGAAGAGTGAAGGAGCTACGAAAAGAACTAGATAAGATGCTTGTTTTACCTCATATAGGATCAGAAAGGCTGCTGATCCAGGCTTTGCTAGGCACATGCATCCAAAGAGGTGTAAGTGAATTAGGGGTAGATCCTTAGAGCCTAGCACAGTGCCTGGTATGTAATTGGCACTCAATAATCTATTTATTAAACTAATGGAGAGAGAGTTCCAGATTGTAAAGCAAGAGAGCTAGAAAGTTATTGGTCAGATAGATGGACTGTAGGATCCTATGGTATTTTACAAAAGTAAATAGATAATTCTATATAAGATGAGATATAGGAATTTGGTTGGCATAGCTGTTAAGCCCTCAGCTGCTAACCAAAAGCTCGATGGTTCAAATCTACCAGCTGGCTCCATAGAAGAAAGATGTGGCAGTCTGCTTCCATAAAGATTAAAACTTCCTGCTGTTGAGTCAATTCAAACTCCTAGTGACCCTACAGGACAGCACAGAACTGCCCCATAGGGTTTTCAAAGCTGTCAAACTTCACAGAAGCAGATTAAGACATCTTTCCCCCACAGAGTGGCTGGGAGGTTCAAATCACTGACCTTTGGATTAGCAGTCAAGTGCTCAAGTTCTGCACCACCGGCCTGCTCCTATAGCGACTACACTGAGATCTCTCTGGATGTTAAACAGAGCTGCCAGGCTTTCCTGTGAAGGAAGCTCATGCTTCAGGCTTCACTTTCCCAACCAAATACCAGGCCACACTGACTCACTGCTCCTCCCTTTCACAAGCCCAGTCTTTTCCTTTTAGCTCAAGTGTTACAATCCATCCCTTGTCACTCACAAATATTGCCCACAATTCATTTTGTTGTGGTGGTTCTCAAACTACATTTGCCATAAAATCCACAAAATATTGGCTCCTTGAGGACCTCTCCTGCTGTAGTGCCTAAGACATTTGACTGCTAATCAGAAGGCTGGTGGTTCAAACCCACCATCCACTCCTCAGAAGGAAGATGGGGCAATCTACTTCCGTAGTGATAATGCCTCGGAAACCCAAGGAGGGGTCGCTATGAGTCAACATTAACTCAATAGCAATGAGTTTGGTTTGGTTTGGTTTGGGTTGAGTAGAGCTGCCTTTGCCAAATTTTTCCATTCAAAATGATTTAGCTCTTAGGTTGGCAGCCTCAAAAAGGACTTCTTATTTTTCAATGATCCTTAGAAAGCACGGACCTGTGGTTTTCAATTCCAGTTCATATTCTGCTATCCATCTCTTTCCATTTCATCACCATGCGGTTGAACTCACCCCCATCAACCTCAAATCATTTTACTGCTTGTTTATTAAAGTCTTAGGCATGACTCAAGTAAGTAGGAAGAAGCTGTGAATACTTAACTATAGAAGTTTAGTGCCTTGGGGGTGAGCAGTGTCCAGCAAACATGAAATTGATAGATTCAATATCTTATAAACCATATGCCTTTGAGTTGATTACAACTCATGGTGACCTCCAGTGTGTCAGAGCACAACTGTGCTCCATAGTTTTCAATGGCTGAGTTTTCAGAGGTGGCTTCTCAGGCCATTTTTCCAAAGTGCCTCGGAGTGGACTCAAACCACCAATGTTTTGGCTCTCAGCCAAAAACATTAACTGTCTGCACTACCAGGGTCACAGTATCTTATAACCAACACCAAACCAACCCCACAGCATCAAGTCAATTCCAATTCATAATACAGGTCAAAATCTGCTGCTGAATCCACTCAGATGCTCCAACTCTAATGTCTTTAACTATCAGAGGGTTAGGGTTCATGAGTCCACAGGGCCTGGAAATAATTTTACTGCTGCCTCTGATATGCCCTCACAATGATCCAGAAACACCAAACCAACTGCCATTGAGTCAACTCCAACTCAGCGACCCTATAGGACAGAGTAGAACTGCCTCCACGGGGTTTCCAAGCCTGTAAATCTTTACAGAAACAAACTGCCTCATCTTTCTCCCATGGAGCAGCTGGTGGGTTCAAACTCCTGACCTTTGGGTTAGCAGCCAAATGCTTAACCACTGCAGCACCAAGTCTCCTCAGTGTCTTACAACCCTTATTATTTATTGCAGCCCCAGTACTAGCTCAGTTGTAATAGGTCTGTTACATGAATGAATAGTATATGCCTAGGCAAAACTCCATGTTGTCACATATCCTACCACAGATTTCTCCATAATAAAATACTGCAATTTTAATGTCACCTTTACCATGAATTCCTCCTACCAGTCACTTCTAGTTTCACAAACTCAAGGTCACTTCTCCTTGCTCTGAAATCTATCACAGCTTCTTCTGTTCTTCTCTGTCTGGTCCTCACTACATTGTTCCTTCAGTTGTCCTTTCTTATGGCCATTGCTAAGTCTTGTGTTTTATTCATTGGAATCCCAAGTGCTTAGAGCACACTGCCTCACTCAGCATAGGGATTCAGTATTGACACCAAATAAATGAATCATGACTGAACCAATAAAGAAGTAATCTGCACAATACAAATGGAATATTGCTCATAAAATAATGGTAAGAGATGTTATATGAAATGCCCATTTTCTCCAGATCTAGCAGAGATGTATGCTGTCACCCCAATGCCTTTCTTTCCTTTACTTACCCTCCATAAAACAACTTTGTGGGAGGATATCAAGAACATTATCCATGAAGAAAGAAAGAGATGACTAAAAAGATGAGAAAAGAAGAGAAGACCAAAATGGATGACAGAAGAGACTATGAAACTTGCCCTTGAGTGGAGAGTAGCTAAAGCAAATAGAAGAAATGACAAGATAAAAGAGCTGAACAG